ATTAAACAGACAGTAATATACTGACCATCACAAGGCAGGATTGGAGGGAGGAGGGATAAAATTGAGGAGAGTCATTTCACATTGAAACTGTGGATGGAATGACTGGGCTATTTTACCAGGCATTCGGCAGGCAGTGGTTACCGCTGAAGGCTCCCAGTGTGGGGGAGAGGGTTTCTGAAGCCACAGGGAGGGCTGTGTGTAGGGAAGGCAGCTCCCATGGCCCCAGTGCTTTCCTCAGAAGGTTTTTTTTCCTCTATAATCACTTGGTTTGTGATTCTGCAAATGTTCTTTTGAGGTCTACATGCAGAATGCAGCATGTACCTAACCTGTTCCTGGAGCTACCATTGTTCCTGGGGGGGCTGGGGGCTCTTTGCATGGATGTGAGCCTTTAAAGTGAATGAAAGACTCAGCAAACCAAACCTCCACATGCCTCTGGCTGCTCGCTTCTCCGGCTGATGTCAAACCCTCTATCGAATTGATAAAAGCCGATTTTGCAGGTCCGTGACCTTTCATCCGAAAGGCTGCCTTTAGAATGGGGCTCTGTTATACCTGCTCAACCCAGCTCTGATGAAAGGTCACAAACCTGGAAGGTTAACTTTGTTCTCTCTCCACAAGATGCTGCCAGACCTGCTGAATATTTACAGTATTTCAAATTTCCAATATCCACAGTTTTTTTTCCACTTTTGTGCCAGTTGTGTAATGGAAATGCATCTCCTGTTGTGCTGTTCACAAGAAGGCAAAATCAAATAGTTTTCAGGTGAAGCAAAGTTGGAGTGATAATTAGACTAGTTTCCACAGATATAATTAAACCAGTCAGGCATTCTGTCTATCCTTCATATTTCCATTCTAAGCTGGTGGCATGATGGTTAGCACTACTGCCTCACAGTATTAGGGACCCAGGTTCAATTCCAATCTTAGGCAATTGTCTGTGTGTAGTTTGCACATTCTCCCTGTGTCTGTGAGGGTTTCCTCCAGGTGCTCTGGTTCTCTCCTGCTGTCCAAACATGAGTAGATTGGCTGTGCTGTAATGCTAGGTAGGTTAGCCATGGGAAATGCAGGGATAGGGTCAGTATGGGCTGACTGGCCTCTTTCAGCACTGTAGGGATTCTATTGTCAATTTCCACATACACATAATAATGGAAATTGCCCATGCTGACAGATCACAGTTTGAAAACTTGTCTGTAGAATACTTTTACTGATAAGGAGGGTGTTTATTACAGCGTACAAGTTGACAGAAATTGTAATGAAAGCTGCTTAAATCCACATTTATAGAGACTAAATGGACAAAGCAAGCTTGTAGAAGCAAGACTTTTTAATGCATTATTTATTTATATATTCCACCATTTCAAACAATGCCCTATAGCTGCCTACTGAAACTTAATTCTGCTTCAAGACAAACTGCAAGTGACACATAGGTTCGTTGTGAACAATTTGCAGATTTCCAATATAAACTTGTGACTTGAGGGTTAGCTCAGTTGGCTGGATAGCTGGTTTGCTAATGGAAAGTAACACCCACAGTATGAGCTCAATTCCCACACTCCTGAGGTTACCATGAAGGACCATACTTCTCAACCTTCCCCCTCGCCTGAGATGTGGTAACCCTCAGGTTTAATTACTCCCAGTCATTTCTCTCTAAAGACAGTCTATATAGCAACTTTGCAGTTTATAATCTTGTGAAGCATCAGACAGACTCAACAGAGTGTCAAATTATTTTACAGCTGATTAGCAGCACGTTGGCTCAGTGGCTAGCAATGCTGCCTCACAATACCAGGGACCTGAGTTCAATCCTCACGCTGGGCGATTGTTAGCGTCGAGTTTTTACACTCTCCCTGTGTCTGTGCAGGTTAGGTGGATTGGCCAAGCTAAATTGCCCATTGGAAATGCAGAGTTACAAGGATAGGGTAGGTGGGTGGGATGCTCTTCAGAGGATTGGTGTGGATTTGATGGGCCAAATGGCCTGCTTCCACAGTTTAAGGATTCTATGAGGGGCATGGATAGGGTGATTAGTCAAAATCTTTTCCCTAGGGTGGAGGAGTCCAAAACTAGAGGGGCTTGGGTTTAAGGTGAGAGGGGAAAGATTCAAAAGGGACCTAAGGGGCAACTTTTTCACACAGAGGGTGGTGTGTGTACGGAATGAGCTGCCAGAGGAAGTGGCGGAGTTTGGTACAATTACAACATTTAGAAACCTTCTGGATGGGTAGATGAGTAGGAAGGGTTTAGACAGATATGGGCCAAATGCTGGCAAAAGGGAATAGATTAATTTAGAATATCTGGTCAGCATGTACGAGTTGGACTGAAGGATCTGTTTCCGTGCCATACATCTCTATGACTCTATGTGCAGGTTAGGTGGATTGGCGATGCTAAATTGCCCATAGTGTCTAGAGCTGTGCAAGCAAATGAATTAGTCATAGGAAATGCAGGGTTACAGGGAGAGGGTATGGCTATGGGGATGGGTTTAGGTGGGATGCTCTTTGGAGGGTCAGATTGGACATGATGGGCCGAATGGCTTGCTTCCACACTGTGGGGATTCTATGATTCTATGAATTGCATGCTTTAGAATAAGTGTAGTCAGCAGCATTGAATACACAGCAAACTCTCACCAACAGCAATGCAACAGTGACTACAAATATGTTCTGTGAGGTTCATTGAAAGGTAAGTAATGGGCAGGAATCCAGGGATAATTCACTTGGTCTTCTTCAAAACAGCATTCATATAACAGAGAGTAAACGGCGTTTTCGTTCAACATCTCATCTGAAAGACAGCGCTGCGAGAGTGCAGCAATCCCTCTGTGCTGTATAAGAGTGTCAGCCTAAATCAAATTATTAGTTTTATCTGGAAGCACAGATTGTCACAGGCAAGCATTTTAGGAAGGGTTCTGAGGAAGGGTCACTGGACCCGAAACGTTAACTCTGTTTTTTCCTTCACAGATGCTGCCAGAGCTGCTGAGCTTTTCCAGCAACTTTGTTTTTGCTCCTGATTTACAGCATCCGCAGTTCTTTCGGTTTTTATTAAGCACTTCAGGAAATTAAACTCATGGAAATCTAACGGCTATATGACATCGTGAATGTGAGTCAAGAATGTTTTAGAGAACAGACAAAAACCAGGTTCCAACTTAAATTGTTCACTGCACGAGGTGTCACAATGTTGGCTACCTTAAAACCTGATGTGTACAATTTACCTTATTTCTGTATGAACTAACTCACTGTCATTGCTTGTAGTATCAACTTATTAACAGATAAGAATTATATGCAAAGAAAAAGAATGGTTTCCATCATTTAATTCACATCAGAACGTTACTGTAATGGGTTATTACCTTGGGTGGAATTCTACGTTGCACCAAACTCCTTATGGTTAGGTGTGAATCGGGAAGGATATCCGGCCTCCAAGAGCAACCAGCCAATCAAACAGTCAGCAGCATTCTAGTCTCAGCAGTGGTCATAGCAAGGACCACATCCAGTCCCCAGTGACAACTGACGGAGCCTGATACCAAGATAGTGGGGAAGGTATCAATGACATACAGGTGAGGAGTGGGAACAGGAGGTGTGGCCAGGTCAGGGTGGGATTACGTCTTGAGAGGTTATGAAGGAGATATGCGCCCTCCACCCCTCCCAAACCCCTTGCCCACCAGCAGCTCGAGAAAGTGAAATCTAAGAGACTTCATGCTTGGTACTCACCTCAACCCAATGTATGCAAAATTACAACAGGACAAAAGTGGGGAGGGTAGGTGCTGGGAATGCATGTGGAAACTGTACCCAATTTCATACCTTCCCATTCCCCATCTCAGCCAAGATGTCCCTGTAAGAGCTGAAATTTCAGCCCCTTGGGTGTGAGCTATTGACTTATCCACTACTTCATGTGGATTACATCTACTATCGCTTGATGACTTCACATGTGGGATATTCTCTATCCTTTTCCTAGTCTCTCATTTGTTTGGCATCATGGTGAATGGAATTATGGCAGTGTCTGCAGACCACAGCCGGCATGAAGCCAGAGCTCGAAAACATACTTGTATGGTCTTAACACCGGTGGTGAATAGACCTTCTTACTGTTGTCTCCTTTACTTGCACTGAATTCCAAACAAAAAACACACTCGAAATTAATATCTGTGATGTTATCTTTTGATTAATTGGATAACCAAGCTACCACTGGAAGGTTGTTTATGCAACTTTTCATAACTTCACAGCTGAAGCATAGTACATTAGCAACTCCCAGTTGAACAGCAGGTCTTAATGACCCCAGAGTATGTCTAAAAGCACCCTTCAATGTTTTGTATCCTTCAGTGATTACGTCTATAAGGAAGAACAATATCAGGATTGCACAGCATTTGGAATATAATGACATCCACTTAGCCTGCAGCAGTATGTCAAGGCTAAGAGTAATGGCATAAATGACATACTCCCTCAAGTCATGGCTGAACAGAATTATTTTACTCATTGTTAACCAGGCTGTTGATCTTCCCTTCTTTAATCTAGAGACAAGTGAAGATGATAATGCCTATCAGTGAATTGAATAAATAACCTTGTTCTTTTTTTTGAAGTGCTGATTTAAGTTTCACAGCAGCGGGAAATAGCAAATCTCAACTGAACAGAATGACATCTGCAATGAGAGGTTTGAAATTGATTTCAGGTCAGCTCATAGCTGGATGCAGGAGAGATTCTTCAAATTACTAAACCCATCAATCATAAATATGGAGACCTACAGTTTCAATTTGCACTATAACTGTAACTGAACATGAACTTGCTGTTATCTTAATTATATCAAAGAGGTGACCATTTAATCAACGACTGCCCTGATATAATGACATTTCACAATGTCAATAGGTTCCCACTGCTTTTTCATGGCCCTAAGGAATTTTGGAAATGTGCGTAACTTGCACAAAAAAGTCCATCCCTTTATAAACTTTCATCGCTTTTTGCCAGCTGTTAGAAGAGTTAATCATTTTGGTAATACCCACAACTGTATGGTAAATCAGAAATCTTTGAAAGTTGTTTGTCAAGTACCTTCCAGGTTGGGTGGTCCTCTAGGACTGAGTCCGAAGTACTCAAAATCAAGTACCTCATTCTCTTCAGCATTGGAGTTATTGGAAGGGGTGATTCTCCGACCAACATAGGAAGCTAATGGTCTCCTGCTGCTTGAGCCGCCAGAGGTGGGTTCAGACATTTCGAAACAGAAAATGTGCTAGAACAAAATGAGACAGGTTGAGTCAGAGTAATGAAGGAAGCTTACAAAGAATGAGCATTCAACAGCTGGATGGAAAAAACAAAACAGATAACCTTATAGCCAGAGATGCGGACTGCCAGCAAATACATACGTAACCCTTCTCTGCTGCAAAGTTTAACCCTTTCACAACTTTTTTTAAGTTAATCATTCATGGGATGAATCAGGGCATTGCTGGCTAGGCCAGCATTAGGGCTAATTGCCCAGAGGGCAGTTAAGAGTCAACCACATTGCTGTGGGTCTGAAGTCACACATAGGCCAGACCAGGTAAGGATGGCAGTTTTGTTGCCCTAAAGGACATTAGCGAACCAAATGGGTTTTTCCCAACAATTGACAATGAATTCATGGTTATCATTAGACTCTTAATTCCAGATTATTTTTGAATTCAAATTCTACCATCTGTCACAGCAGGATTCAAACCTGGGTGCCAAGAACATTACCTGGGTCTCTGGATTAACAGTCTAGCAATAATACCACTAGGCCATCACACTGTTTGATTCATTTGAGTGGCTGCCAATGCATTCACACTGTAAAGCAGTAGCACAAATACTGGAAATTGAAAGCAAAACAGAAAATGGTTGGAAATGCTCCACAGGTCAGATAGTACCCGTAAAGAAGAGGTTGGGTCAGTGAGTTCAGGTGGTCCATTCCTTTTCATCAGAACAGTGCCGTTCTTCCAAAGTATTGAAGCTCTCTTCTTATGAACTCTTAATCAACCAACCAGTTTCCTGAGTATGCATTCATGAAGGTAACCCCATCAATGTGGGACAATGGTGCATGATCTTATGTTCAAATGCTAACACTGACAGTCATATGTCAACCTCAAATCTGTAGCCTGTCCATTGGGTAAGGAACAGCATCATCCAATGTTCTATACCTCAACACAAACTGTTAAAGAAGGGAAGGTTAGATGGAGAAATCAGAGGGCACATGGAGGCGTGGAGAAATTTGTGATTATTGTTGTAAGTGTTACTAACAATCTTTACGAAGGTTTCAATTTTACTGAGGCTGGCATCAAGCCATGTACAGTAACATGGTCCATACCTTCTATGGACTTCCCTGAGTTAGCTTACTTTGAGGGTTCTTCCCAAAAAAAAATTTTGATGATGGTTAACTTGACACGATGTTAAGATATATTTGTTCATTAAACCTTTGATGTTTTCATGATCATTAAAGGAGCTTTTAGACACATCATGTGTAAATGTGACTGCTTCAGACAGTCCTTTTGAGATATCATTTAAGCTAGTCTTTTTAAACCACTGATGAAGAGATGTGAAGCCCATTCCTGCATTATTCTCACAACTCCTGGAACACAGAACAGTACAGCACAAGAACAGGCCCTTCAGCCCACAATGTTGTGCCAAACATGACGTCAAATGAAACTAATCCATTCTGCCTGCCCTTGGTCCATATATCTCCATTCTTTGCATATTCATGTGCTTATCTACAAGTCCCTTAAATGCTCCTATCGTATCTGCCTCCACTACCAGCCCTGGCAGTGCGTTCCAGACTCCTACCACTCTCTGTGTAAAAAACTTCCGCCTCACGTCTCCTTTGAACTTTCCCCCTCACCTTAAATGCATGCCCCCTAGTGTTAGACATCTCAACTCTGCGAAAAACATTCTGACTGTCAACCCTATCTATGCATCTCACAATTTTATAGCTTCCTATCAAGTCTATAAATCTCAGAGCAGGCCATTCGGCCCAATGGGTCCATTGTCATACATGTCTCCACCCACCTTTGTCTCAAAACAGCAATATACCCTTCCACTTCCTCCTCTATCACATGTTAAGGTAGCTTCACCTTAAGTGTACAAATGATGGCTACCACAGCTACTCCTTGTGAGAAGTGATAGCACATCCTGATTGTGCTCTATTAAGCACTCATATTCAATCCATACTAGCCCCTGGGAATTGCAATGTGTGTGACACACTGCAACCCAAAGGGATACCAATCCACTGTGTGACAGTGACAGAGGTGAGCTTTATTATTTCATCTGCTACTGCACTCCTCCAGGGATAGAGAAAGTTAACAAGATCAGTAAGAAAAAGCAGGATTCCCAGATCACCAGGGGTTTGTCAAAAGGAAATTACTAACAGTCTGCAACTGATGGGCACATTTAAACAAACATTGAGTCTCTACGTATTTTTTTTAAAAGTTACACAAAAAGGAGATACTTAATGGCAGATGCGTTCAAGACTATCATTTTACACAGTTCTGAAATGTAAGAGTCTGTTAATGTGTCCAAATCAAAGCCAGTGTTCTAAAAATCTCTAAGTTATTCATTGGCAAACTTTATGTGTAACGAAGTTATTGTACTCGAAAATAAATATCTTGCATTCATATAGCGCGTTTCACATCAGCGGATTGCGTTAAAGCTTTTGCAATTAACCTGTTGCTTTCAAGTGTCTGCAATTAAAATCGAAATAGACGGAAAATTCCTGGTGACACTTGCATTTCTGAAATGTCATAAAGGCATGAAGAAATTATTTTGGAAGCATCAGGCTGTTGTTGGTTTTAGCTCACGCTAAACTCCTGAGATGGAGACATGTGTTTTGAATGACCTCTAACATCAAAGCATTCGGAAAAATCTTTTCTGCGGGACTGAATCAGTCAGAAACAATTGTAACACCGTCAGAGAGAAAAAAAATGCACAAAATATTTCGAAGTTTCTTTTCCAAACGTTGTGTCTGTGAGAGAGATCAAACCTTCCGTTACATTTTTTTTCCAGGGTCAGTCAGACTGAAAATGATTAAAACTAACGCATGCTTTGTAAATGGAAACGAAGTTGGTGAATTGTTGCAAAGATATTTGAAGGCACTACAATGAAAAAGTCAAAGTCATAACCACAAACTAACAAACCCAACTATTTGATGGAACCAGCCCCACCAAATCGTTAGTTACATTTAGCTACATTTACTGAAGAAGGAAATAAATGTGTGTCCAATTAAACACACAGAAAATCTTGCAGCTCCTCTTTTATTGCACATTTACAGAAAGACCATTGGGATAACCATAGTGTACTTGCACTGTTCACCTTTCAAATGCTATCATGTTATTTGGCCAACAATGAATTTAATGGAGAAATGACCACAGCCTCCAGTTTGAAGAGTGATAGGGAAGAATTTGCATGCGTTACAGACATGGAACGATTATTGCAACTTCAAAAGCAGGAACATCCAGCCTGCAAGTGGCAATGTCCCTGTGTCAACATTGCATTGATTTAAAAAAAAATAAAATTAACAGCCTCGTTACAACATGTAACTTCAATGCAATAAATTGACTCAATTAGCGAGCTGAAAGATGAAAAAGAGCATTTACCTGGTGAGAGAGAAGGAACTAGCAGCCTGGAGACAGAGCACTAGTTAAAGGCGCCTGAGTGCACCAGCTTTATAAAGCTTTCCAGAAGCCAGCTCGCCTTTGCAAGGGATGCGAGCAACTTTTTTTTGCATCCCAGTTCTGTGGTTAACAACTCCGAATCAGAGCAGCAAAGAGTATCGTGGCCACGCCTCACAAATCTGGCGAGAACGGAGGGGTGCACAATCTCTCTGTGGTATTACTCACAATCCTTGAGTTATTGGCGTTGCCAAGAGCAGAAACAGTCAGCGAACGTTTTCCCCTTAAAACCCAGAGAGAATGTGGCCATTCTCTTCCCACAGAGGCTGCCTGTGCCGCTGAGTGTTTTCAGCATTTTCTGTCGCTGTACCAGATTTGCAGCATCCAACGCATTGCCCCTGAACCCCAGATGCCACTGCTTTTTCGTGGTGCTTAGGATCCTTTGAGTAATATTACTGCTGAGGTTAAATAGTGGAGGTGCTACTGTATCTCAGTATTGCTTCCTTCAGGTCACATTGGAGTGGGGTGAAGGGGAAGGGGTTCTGCAATCAGATAACAAGGAAATAGCCTTTAAAGACCGCCCCCCCAACCCTGGAACCATGACCTCCCCCTCCCCATTCTCACATTTCCAAGACCCCAAACAATGAAACTATAGACGGGTTCTAGTACTGTGTTTCAGTACCAGTGGTCTCACTCCTGTTGTGTTGATTTGATTTATTATTGCCACATGTACCTAAGTACAGTGAAAAGTTTTGTTTTGCATGCTGTACAGGCAGACCATTACTTAGAAAGATACAAAGATCATAGGGCGATTGAACAGAGCGAGATATACAAAGTTATGGCAGGAAAAGAGGGTGTAATATTGTTAGTAATTTTTACAGACTTAGAATTGAGGTTTAAAAGTGCGGAACAATTGTAAGAAATATGAGATTAAGATCTGCTGTAGAGAGCTCACAGAGTCACCCTGTGTTAGCACCATCCTGAATCAGTGGTATACACATGCTGCTGTACCCAGTGAAGTTTCTAACTAGAGGTCTTGCATTGAGACAGTACCAGTTAACACCAGTTCATCTGCTCTACAGGAAGCCCCAATTTAAAATGTACACCCAGATCTTTTCCTTTCCAGACCCTTGCTGCTTTTTACATGTTGTTATCCATTTGTTGAAATAAGCACCTTATTAGTTCATTTTGAAACTGAGTGTTCAACAGTGTCGGTACTGACTCATTAGCCAAGCAGTTCTTTAAATTGGCTTGAATCGCCTTGCTTAACACTCCAAGTTAAAGGTCAACATCACATAATAAAAGAGACTCTGATCACAAGACAACATTAATAGACTTTCAGGCAATCTGACCAACAATGTCCTCACAATCCTCCATTTACTGGCCTTGAACATTAAACATTATTTCATCAGCAGTATATGCCTTTTCCCATCGCAGGAATGCCTACTCATTATAAAAACTACATCAAAGTATTATGTTTTTTTTAAATTCATTTACAGGATTAGGCATCACTGGCCAGGCCAGCATTTATTGCCCATTATGTATTTCCCAGAGGGCAGTTAAGAGTCAACTACATTTCTGGAGTCACATGTAGACCAGAACAGGAAATGATAGCAGTTTCCTTCCCTAAAGGACAGTAGTGAGGCAGATGGGTTTTTCCTGACAATTGATAATGAATTCATGGTCATCATTAGATATTTAATTCCAGATTTTTTTTTAAATTGAATTCAAATTCCACCATCTGCCATGGCAGGATGTGAACCTAGGCCCCTGGATGTATGGATTAACAGTCCACTGATAATTCCACTAGGCCATTGCTTCCCCTTATGACTATATATTGGATAATGTACATTTTGAAAAATCTGTTACTTCCAATATACTTCCATAAATTGAAAAGTGATTACTTGGATTAAAAGATATTCCAGTAGTACTTTTCGGTAACCTACCTCAGAGACTGAAGCAATCCATATCCAAATGCAGCAAGACCTGGACAACATTCAGTTAAGTAATATTGGTGCCACACAAGTGCCAGGTAATGACCATCTCCAGCAAGAGTCAATCTAACCATCGCCCCATAACGTTCAATGTCATTCCTATCACCAAATCCCCCACCATCTTAGGGCTTACCCTTGACCAGAAACAGAACTGGACTGACCATAACAATACTATGGCTACAAAAGCATGTCAGAGGCTAGGAAGTCTTCAGTGAGTAACCTGCCTCCTGTCTCCCCAAAGCCCATCCAACATTGCCAAGGCACAAATCAGGAATACTTTCTTCTAGCCTGGGTGGGTGCTGCCCCTACAACGTTCAAGAAACTTGGCACCATCCAGGACAATGCAATTTGCTTGAATGGCATCACATCCACCACCTTCAATGTTCACTCTTTCCTCTGGGTAGCAGCAGTGTGTGCCATCCACAAGATGAACTGCAGCAATTCACCAAGGCTCCTTAGACAGCACTTTCCAAACCCACAAAGTCTACCAGCTAAAAGGACAAGGGCAGCAGATACAGGGGAACACTGCCATCTGCAAGTTCCTATTCAAGCCACACACATCCTGACTTGGATATACATCACTGTTCCTTCACTGTTGCTGAGTCAAAATTTTGGAACTTCCTTCCTTATAGCGCTGCAGATGTCCTATGTCCCAAGGACTACAGTGCTTTAAGTAGGCAGCTGAACAATACCTCCTCAAGGTTATCTAAGGATGTGCAATAAATGCTGGCTGAGTCAGCGATGTCCACATCTCATGATTGAATAAAAAAATTGCGAGCACTTGAACACGCAAGCAGTCAGCAGGAATTCAAGGAAAAACCAGCAGAAAGAAACAACACTTGAAGCTAAAGTCTTTGCTTCAGACTTGCTAAGGAAGCACAGAGGAAAGCAGTCTGGACAATGAAGAGCTTAAAGACCAGTCCGATCTAACACTTAGAGATTCCATTAAGAAGCGAGGGTCTGTCGGAGCATTTGCTTTGACAAGGAATTGAATGTATTGAACTAAAAATGCCCATTGGACAAGAAGGAATTGCTTAAGTTAAACATTTTTTAAAAAGTTGAGAAGTCAGGAAGTTATTAAAACAAAAGTACTTCAGTTCACAATAATGAGGTTGCAGTACCGAGATTGTCATAAGTCAGAATTAACGTTAGAAAAGGAACACATTGAAAGCTAAAACCGGCAGCGTCTAACAGGAGAAGATGGTTAGAAGACTTTTGACGCCATGGATAAGAGGATGAAATCCATAATTTAAACCATTGTTCAAACATGAAGAATTTATTAACACAGCCACAAGTTTTTTTATAAAGTCAGGGTGAGTGATGCACATCATTGATTAGGTTATCAAGGGTGGGAAATCATCCATTTGACCCAGGAGAAATCAGGAAACCTCCATTTTGCATGCAGAGGGTAGGATATCTCCACTTTAACCACAAGAATGCAAGGAACCCACCAGCAAACATGCAGCATGACGATTTAATAGAATTAAAAGCCTTAAGAGAAGGAAATGAATAAAGCATTGTAATTAATTGAAGTAAAAATCTTTAAGGGAACAAAATTACAACAGTCTTAAAATATTGCAGAATATAAGAACTTAGAGAAGAATAAATAATCACTTTAGGAAGTTGTGGCAGGAGAAAAAGTCCAGCCTCAAAGATTTAACATCAGAGATAGAACAAGTCGAACAAATTGTTGGACATCTTAGAGAAAACATTCCCTATGATAGAACTTCTTCAAATATAAACATTAAATCACAAACTGAACAAATAAATTCACTATTAAATTTAGTGGAACCCACAGGTGAATATGTTGCAAATTACCAAAACATGAAATATATTTTTTGGAAAATGTTCTATAAACTTTTGTCAATTAAAATTCTTGAAAGAACAAGATATAGCAGAAGTGTTAAGCATTCAAGGGAATCTACGATGCTTTCATTAATGGTCTGTGCAAATGGCAGAAAACTGCCTGTAGAGATTTGTAATTGTAACTCAGAAGAGTCAGAGTTGTTAATGAGTCTTTGTCATTTATTACAGTTTCCCAAAGAAGATCTGATTTCAGAGAAAGATATATAGAATGTGCTGGAACCAGAAACTAGGAATAATTGGAGACAAATCCTCAGAGGTGAGGGGCAATCTTATCACAGGACAGTATCAGAATCTATCCACATTGTAAGATTTAAACAGTCTAAAGACATAAGTTAAACCAATTGGGAGATTCAGACAAACAGCAGATATCAAGAGTCAGTATAAATGCTATGATTCAAAAAGGCCTCACAGGTATTAGCAGTGCCCAACTATGACAAAGTATGCTGCATCTGTAAAACTATAGCTCACTTCCTGAAGATGTGCAGCATTATGATACAGTTTCAGATTGGCCAAAAGTCAAATGCCTACATGTATAAAGTTGATAATGTGATACAGCCAGCAGTATTGGAAAAGATACCCAGTACCTTCATAGAGTCAGAGAGATGTACAGCATGGAAACATCCTCTTCGGTCCAACACATCCATGCTGACCAGATATCTTTAATAAATCTAGTCTCATTTGTCAGCATTTGGTCCATATCCCTCTAAACCTTTCATATTCATATACCCAAGCAGATGCCTTTTAAAAGTTGTAATTACACCAGCCTCCTCCACTTCCTCTGGCAGCTCATTTCATATATGCACTACTTTTTGTGTGAAAAGTTGCCCTGAGGTCCCTATTATATCTTTCCCCTCTCACCTTATTCCTATGCCCTCTAGCTTTGGATCCCCCACGCCAGGGAAAAGGCCTTGTCTATTTGCCCTATTCACGCCCCTCATGATTTTATGAACCTCCCAGCCTCTGGAGCTCAGGGGAAAATAGCCTTTCCCTATAGCTCAAACCATCCAACCTTGACAATATCCTTGTAAATCTTTTCTGAACCCTTTCCAGTTTCACAACATCCTTCCTATAGAAGGAAGACCAAAATTGCACGCAATATTCCAATAGTGGCGTAACCAATGGCCTGGACACCTGCAGCTTAACCTCCCAACTCCTATACACAATGCACTGAGCAATAAAGGTAACCATACCAAACGCCTTCTTCACTATCCTGTCTACCTGTGACTCCACTTTCAAGGAACTATGAACCT